TTATTTTTTTTTTTTTTTTTTTTTTTGAGAGGAATAATTCGAAAGGTAGGCATATTGCGTTTCGGACGAAAATTGATTTCGGTTACGTTAGAGGCATCGGGTGAATGAAATTCTTCGAAGGGAAAATTGATTTTCCCTCGTCAAAAGCATTTGATATGTAGATGAGATCCCGTGAAAGAATTTTCTTTTAAGAGAAAATTGGTTTTACCGTGCCCCGCGAAGGGCATTTGGTAAGTAGAACTTTTTACACGGATATTGATTTCTTCGCGTCAAAAGGATCGATAAGTAAAACTCGTGTTCTCCTCTTTGGAAAATTGATTTTTTCGTTCATAGAATTCTGAATCGTTTTGCGGACAAAATCTAATAAAAATTAAGGCTTCGTCAAAGAAGAAAACGCGTCACCAATTATCAAAAAAAACTTATCGTATCATAAATCATCGCAACGCATCACTCGATATTTCCAAATCACAAAACTGCGATGTATCTTCGCAAAGATTTCAATTCGCGACAGACTCTACAAAAATATATATCATATTCGATTCGTAAACGATTCTTAAATCTCCAAATCACAAAGTTACAAAGTATCAAAAAGTTACGTTTCACAAACTCACAAAGCATCACAATATCTCCACGTCACAAAGCATCACAATATCTCCTCCTCACAAAGCATCACAATATCTCCACATCATCACAAAGCATCACAATATCTCCACATCATCACAAAGCATCACAATATCTCTACATCACAAAGTATCACAATATCTCCACATCACAAAGTATTACAATATGTCCACGTCACAAAGCATCACAATATTTCCACATCATAAAATATCACAATATCTCTACATTACAAAGCATCACAATATCTCCACGTCACAAAGTATTACAATATTTCCACATCACAAAGCATCACAATATCTCTACATCACAAAGTATCACAATATCTCCACCTCACAAAGCATCACAATATCTCTACATCACAAAACAAAACAATATCTCCACATCACAAAGTATTACAATATGTCCACGTCACAAAGCATCACAATATCTCCACATCATAAAATATCACAATATCTCTACATTACAAAGCATCACAATATCTCCACATCACAAAGCATCACAATATCTCTACATCACAAAGCATTACAATATCTCCACATCACAAAGCATCACAATATCTCCACATCACAAAATATCACAATATCTCTACATTACAAAGCATCACAATATCTCCACATTACAAAACATCACAATATCTCCACGTCACAAAGTATCACAATATGTCCACATCACAAAGCATCACAATCTCTACATCACAAAGCATCACAAAGCATCACAATATTTCCACATCACAAAGCATCACAATATTTCCACATCACAAAGCATCACAATATTTCCACATCACAAAGATACATTTTCAAAGCAACGATATCTTTGCAAATACAGTAGCCGCGCTACGATTTTAACGCGATATCGCGAAGATAAGGCGAGGCGTTTCGCGCCTCGCTTCGAATCTTATTTCTCGGGTCGATTTCTATTAACATACAATGCCGGCCACGATATCTCTCCGCCGCGAATTAATCTGCCGCGTTAAATGAAAAGCCGAAGAAGTTCACCGCGCGCGTTCATCGTCCACCGCGTCGCCGCGTGGGTGGATGCGCGGGGCGGCTAAACGCATCTGGAAGATGGGATCCCTCGCGAGGGTTTTTTATTTTTTTCTATTCTTTCTTTTTTTTTTCGAGATTGTGCAACGAGAGTGCGTCGCGCGAATCTAGCGGGATTGAACTCGACCCGCGGAACAGAGATACGTGGGCGATGCGATGGGCTTTACGCCGATGGAGAGGATTGAGTCGCGATGGATTTAGGATACGAGCTTCGGTTCGATGATGCGCATTGTCGGTAGGATGGATTTTTCTAGATTCTTTTTTTTTTTTTTTTTGGGAAAGGAGGAGATATTTTTGGAAGCGAAAAATTTTTTCCTTTACTTGTCTTCTTTTTTTTATATCGTAGAATGTAAAATCTTTTTTTAATATCGTAGAATATCGCGAGATAAGAAGTATGAATTTTTGAAATTGTCGATTCGGATGAAATAATTTTGTGGTTCGAGGATTCGAAAAAAATTGGTGGATGGATATTTTTTTATTTACTTATCTTTTTGTACAAATCGGTTTTTGTACAGACTCGTCGATGAAACACAATGTGTGGAATTTTTCGATTCGCGAGAAAAATTGGTTGGAGGAACTCTTGGCCGTTGAATATTTTCTATTTACAAATTTATTTTCTCGCGTGAAAATTATGGGAAGAATATGGGAAAATTGATGAAGCACAATTGAATTTTTGCGCTCAATTATACGTGTAATTCAAATCACGATACCTTTTGTATTGAAAAGAGCTCTCGACAATTTCTCGACAATTACTTTTATTCATTTTTCTCGTTTCTCGCTCGAAGAGTAAAAGTACTTCTTTTCTTTCCCCTCGATCCAGATCAAACACGTCTCCGAGCATTTCGTTTTTTAAAAAGATAAATTCCTCGCTTAAAAGCGAGTTCCCATCCCACGCGAGGACAAGATAATAATTCCCTTATCCGATCCGAATGATTGGCGAATCACCTGGCTACCGCATACCGGCACGAACCGCGGATAAAAACAGTGGTGGGATGGTCAGGGTGATCGATTCGCGGTGGAGACCAATTAAATGGTGATTCACCGCGGATGTAACGCCGCCCGCAGATATAATCTGCTCGGTCGCAATAAATCGATGTAGGTAAATGAGTCGCGTATCCTTCCCACCGTGTTTCGCCCTCCTTTCTCCTTTCATTGCCCACTTGGAAACGTTCTTCTCCGCCTCTCTCTGTCCCTCTGCCTCTCGTCTCTTTGCGTTTTTTCCAGAGCTGGATCTCTCCTGTGGGAAGGAAGGAAAAAAGGAAGAAAGAAGGAAAAAGAAAAAAAAAAGAAAAAAGGTAGGAGGAGGATAAGGCCGAGCAGAAGGCTGAATTTTCATGTGTACAGAACGAGAGAGAGAGAGTCGAGGTTCTCTCCAGGTTTTCGCTCGAATCGTTCGCCTCTTCGCGGAACCTGTCCAATGGGAAAAGAGGTTTACGCGGTGGACGAGGACTAGAAACTAGAAGGGAGGAGATTGATGCTTCCTTGATATTTCCTTCGCCGTAAAGCGTATGATTATGGCCGCTTCGAGCAGTGAAATCTTCTGTGGTCGGAGAGGATTAAATTGGTGGGGACTTTGCGACAGGTGATTCCTGTGTTTGCTTAATCGATAGACTTTTTCTTTTGATGGGATAGCTAGTTGGATGTTATTAATGATAGACGAGCGAATTATTGTTTATCGTTATAATTCAATTCGTCTTTTGCTCTTTTTTAATGCGTGTTAATAAATCGAATTAAATTCTAATCCAACGTGATATCATATTTTTTCTCTGTTTCTAATATTCTTTAACTTGCAGTCGCGTAGAGAATATCCTCGACGTGGATCAGAATCGGGATAATTACTTTTAACAAGAAAATTTTTTCAATATTATATTTTCCTCTATTTCTAATATTTTTTAACAAATTTTTAACAAAATTAACAATTAACAAAATTTTCTCAATACAATATTATATTTTTCCCTATTTCTAATATTCTTTAATTTCCAAGATCCTCGATGGGAATCGAGATAATTACTTTTAACAAGAAAATTTTGTCAATATAATATTATATTTTCCCCTATTTTTAATATTCTTTAATTTCCAAGATCCTCGACGTGAATCAGAATCGGGATAATTACTTTTAACAAGATTAAGAATATTATATTTTCCTCTATTTCTAATATTTTTTAACAAATTTTTAACAAAATTAACAATTAACAAAATTTTCTCAATACAATATTATATTTTCCCCTATTTCTAATATTCTTTAATTTCCAAGATCCTCGAATCAGAATCGGGATAATTACTTATTCACGAAATGATTAAAATAATTACATCAAATATTAAATTAAATTTTTAATAATAAATTTTTCTCAATACAATATTATATTTTCCCCTATTTCTAATACTTTTTAATTTGCAAGATTCTTGACGTGAATCAGAATCGGGATAATTACTTATCCACGAAATGATTAAATTTTTAACAACAAAATTTTCTCAATATAATATTTTCCTCTATTTCTAATATTCTTTAATTTGCAAGATCCTTGATGTCAATCAGAATCGAGATAATTACTTTTAACAAGAAAATTTTCTCGATACAATATCATATTTTCCCCTATTTTTAATATTCTTTAATTTATATTCTTATAATATATATATATTTAATAATATTCTCGTCATGAATCAGAATCGAGATAATAATTATTCACGAAATGGTTAAAATGGTGAGAGCGGATGAAAAACGATTTTTATTTTCAATAACGTGTAATAAAAGGAGCATTTATCCGAGCGAGAGAGAATTTCTTAAATTTCCGTTTAAATAATATTCTTTCTTCGTCGTCGTGTATTATCTTTCAAAATCATCATTTCCAACACAATGGAGAAAAATAGGAATTTCGATAATTTGGAGAGAGAGAAACGAAAGAAAAAGGAAAAGAAAAGAGGA